AAAGGCGGAAGTAATATGAAATTAATAATAAGGCACCCAAAAGATACTATTTATACCCTAACTATCAACCATAGATCACAATATCATCCAACGGTCCAGGCGACTCCTCAGTTGACAAAAAAAGTCGCATTTTAGGCTACAACTAAAATTGCCACGCCATAAAACACGCTTTTAATGCATTGGGCTTGGGTTTATGTGTCATATCACGTTATTGGGCAATTGCCCCAAATGGAGGACATTGGCATCACAGACCAACTATACTGTAATAAATTATTGAATATCATTATTCATTAGGAAACACTGAACTAGGTGACAAAAATGTGTCATTAAAAAATAAATTCAATGAAATATAAATATATGAGATCCATTTTATATAACTTATCATTCAATGTCATATTGATTGTTGGTGCTATATAGTATTATTCGTAAAGTCAGCAGTCCATGAATTAAGAAATAGTAATCCAGAAAATGATACAATACTCACAATCTCTTTTTCAACTTTCCTTTCAATCTCTTACCCTATTTCATCGACCTTGAAAATAAAGGGAGGCGAATGGGTCCTCGTGAAGCTTAGTTAGTCAATTTCCTCGGTATTCCTTTATTTTAGAGAGAAGGAAGATGATAGAAACTGATTTATCACGACATTTTCTCGCATTTTCGACAGTCGAGTAGATTAATCAAAATCTTAATTATACTAACCAGTGGTACTTTTTTCTCTCAAAATTCACGAATTCGTAGTGACTAGGATTGTACGCTTTGTTCTTTTCTCACTGTATGCTGCAAATTTTAGGTTTGTTGCGGCTTAGGGACCATTCTCCAACAGTAATTTCTATTCTACCAAACAAACACTAAAAATACGAGGTTTGAAATCCCTGTTGCGAGATCATCAAACCGGGGAACAAACAAGACCATGACGTGGCACGAATCAAGTGCTCCACGTGTCGAAACCCCACAAAATAAGAAAAGATCCGAAAGGACAAATTAACCAAAGCTGCTGACAACAAAGTGTGGGAATTGAATGAGCGATAGCGCAGAAAACTGTGGGGTTTTCAACTGTAGAGAGACTAGTGAAGGCTGTAAAGATGGGGTTTGCTTCAATTCAATGCTCCATAGACAGAGCATCCAATGACATGTTTGTAAGTCAAAGCCTCTTGCAATCCAGTGATTCTGCCACTTCAGCAATATCTTTATCCCAGCTGGCTACCATCTCATTGTCTATAATTGTACGATCAATTTCGAATGAGTAATCCTATTCATCCCCACTGAGGTTACAAACACAGTTTAGGTGGCGTTAATGTGACATTAAATGATAGGTGAAATTAAGTAAGTCATTTAATTTCACCTTTCATTTAACCTATCATTTAGAGTCACCTAAACTGTGTTTATAATCCCACTGGGGATGAATAACATTACTCATTCCGAATTGTCAAAATAGTATATATCTTAGCCTATGTTTGGGAATTTGTAAATCATTCAAGTCATTTTTTATATACAAATTTTGAAAATTTAATTTTTTTAGGCTTGTGGGCCGACTCATTTTTTTTTGTTTATTTTATTAATGTCTTTTAAAAATGGTTGTTTCTGGACTTCTGAACAGCTCGGCTCGACCCGACTCGATCCATGTGTCAAAGGATCATGTCAAACCGAATTTCCATACACGAATCGAGCTTTGGATGTTTAAGGTTCGAATTTGCTCTACTAAATCCATTGCAAACCCTAAAAGCAAGAGTCGTGGTCGAGTCAAATTCACATAAATATAAGTGAAGACTATAATGTGTTTGAATTGTTGGGTGGTAAAAAAGAGCAAGACATTATTAAAGTTCTATTTGCTAATTTGTTCTATTTGATAAAGTTCCAAATATATCCTAATTTATTTTATTTGATTCGATTTTCAATAGTGTTACACTAAGAGGCCGTGCGACCCCTTTTTTTTCAAAATTCATTTTAACTACACATTCTTCGACGAAATGATTTTATACATAAACTTAAAACTTTTTCTATATTTTAAGCCGTTGTTTGACAAATATTTTTGGCAAAGAATAAGTTTTTGAATATTAAATTTATTTAGAATGTGTGGTTTGAGAAAAAAATTAAATTTGCGTAAATAGTATTTTATTGTGAGAGTCTATAGTTGAAAATAAGTACGAAAAAATCAAAAAATATTTAAAAAAATGATTGCCAAACGGGACTAAATTTTTAATCATACAAACTTATAAAAAAAAAAAATCATTATTTCAAAATATATTTTTCTTAAAAATGGTTCTTAAACAGGGGCTAAAATCTCATCGATAACCGAGCAGTAGTTGAAAATTGACTCTCCATATTGAACACTCCATTTGACCACTGGATATTTAACCTTTTTCTGCATATTTACCTGAAAAGAAAACACTACACAACACGTAGCTTTCAGATCCTACCATTTAGGAAGGATACTTTTTTTTTTCAGAAAATTTTCTCCAGGACTGAAGTTACCTCAGTAAATAAAAAGGAACACAAAAACAATTTTGTTTTTTAAAATCAATTTCACATTATTCATAAAAAAAAAAAATTAGTTTATTTATTTTTCACATTGAATTTAAGAGGAATAATCTAATGAAAACTTTCATTTATTGAAAAAAAAAATTATTTTTGAAACGAATAATGTTATTTAGCCGCAATAATGAGTGGAACTAAAATGCAAAACTAGGTGAAAAAAAAAAAAAAAAAAGAACAAAAAAAAAAAAATTTAAAAA